TTAAAAATTTAAATAATTACATCATGGAAATGTAATTGCAGATACCTGAAAGTGCTTCTATGTCAGTAATGGTAGGAATTAGGATTTCATTTCTCTTAGGTTTAGTAGATTTATTTTATGCCCAATACAAATCATAGCTCTGGTTGATTTCTCTATTCCCTAACGTAAAAGATCAAAAGTGAACTTATGGCTCACTTTTACTAACTCTGTGCGATCTGTGACCAAAATATCTACATGCAACATTCCTACTATGAGACATGCTTTTCCTGGTCCTATATTTTTATTTGTTTTAATTTTCAATGTTATGGCCTAACAATGAAGTAACAAGCTAGGAGACTAATACGAATGAAATCACTCCTTCTCCATCTACTGGCCACTCTGGCACAAACTCGTCTACTGTACCAGGGGTCTTCCAGGGAGGGGGAGCTGGAAAAGCAGGCCAGAATTTTGGATTCTTTGTGGCAAAGTGGGCACAGGCCTACTGTGTGAGCAACAGCAATGCTCAGGCATAAATTCTGTGTCTTGTTTCAATTTAGAAAAAGGCAGCTATATTGTAGTTTATTCAGCTTCCCACAGGTATAACCTACTCGTGCCTGTCTCTGCATCTGAGATGAAAAGAATCTTCCCAGACTATGAAATTCACTGAGAAATAATAAGAGTACTTAAAGTTCCTATGAACAGGGCCCTTTCCCTACACGTGTGAAGGAGGCTATAAACAGCTAACTTATCAACAAACAGAGGTCTCCTGTTACCTACCACCCAAGAAAAAGCATGTGAGCTGTCACCTCCACGACTCAGTAGAGACTGGACAGCAAAGTACAAAGTGTTTAATTAGAAGGCAAAGATGAGAGTGGTAATAAGGCTGACACACCAAAAATCTGTTCTGTTCCCAACTCTGCTTAGGGCTCCTTGGCTCACTGTGTCCTGCTATGTGGCCACCTTTCAGCCACAAAAACACCACGTACTCCCATTCCCCCATAGTCCTCTTGCTCTGGAATGAATGTTCTTCCTTCATGCTTCTTTGAAAATGAGCGTTTCTCTCCTGATGTCCAAGAAGTCCTTCCCTTACTATCCAAGCATTTCCTTTAAGGTACTGACTGCAACTGACATTTTGGTTGTTTCTGGGGGGCCATAGAGGGAAGAGAGGGCTCTCTATTATGAAACAAGCTCCATGAGGGAAAGGATGTATCCTGTCTAACATCTAAAATTCTGCTTAGTGTACAGAGCCACTAAAGAATGACAGTAATATCAACATTCAATGAGTAAATAGCCTCTGGTATTTCAAAATGATACATGGTCTAAAACTTGGAAATAAAAAAAATCAGAATTAACAGGGGCAGTAGCAAGAGGAATAACCACAACAGTATAAAAAGAGTCACCAAGTTATACACACCCCAAGATTCTTTTTCTGAGCTTTACATTTCTGCAGGTTAGGACAGCTATCTCTCTAACTGAGAAAACGGTGACTCAAGTACATTAAGATATATGTACAAGGCTACTAAGGTGGTGGCCTTGGGTAGTAGCTGTCAATCTTGAAAGTAGATCACCTTCCAAAACCCATGGTTTCACCACTGGGCCACACATTCATGGGTAGTTACTGTCATCTACAAGGTCCACCGATCTGCCTAGAGAAGTCCCAAGGTGACGACTGCTACTAAATCTGCAATGAGTAACAAATCAGCTTTGAACTTGGGAGCAGAACATGCTACAGCAGAAGCCAAGAGAGTCGTGTCTGATGCTTAGAAACCTATAATCAGGCAAAAACAATGCTTCATGTAGAACCAGTAAGAGGAATGGCTGGGGGGAAGAAGAAAGTATCAGGAGGAAAGATACTACTAAGAATCCAAGTGTGAGTGTTTAGGAGAACTGTCTTTCAAAATCAAATCCCAGAAACAATTACCATAAGTTAAATACTAGTCATGCGCCACATACAACATGATAAATATTTTATGATTTATTTTTTATTATTCTTTTCTTACAGTTGAGGACAATGAGCTTCAGAGAAGAGAAACATTTAGTCCAAAAACACAAAGCTAGATGTGACATACAAAGGAATTGGTTCGGTCATCTTGCTTTGAGGGATTATCATCTGCTATGTAATGCTGCCCTCCTTTGTACCTGTCTATAAATGTGGCACTGCAGGTCCTACCTTCAAAATCAACCCAGAGGAAGAAGAGTGGCCAATTACAAAGACATGAACTTCATGGGAGGAGTAGAAACTTTTTTAAGGAATAGTAAAACAACACTCTAAAACAAAACAGTTTCTATTGTTATTGCATTGGTTAACTTACCAGTGGCATCAACTCAGCTAATAAGATGGACAACTTTTACTGCATTAACAAGCCTGACTTCTAATAAGCAGTTACAGAACTTGATTAAGTAGTAAGGCAAAGTGCTGCCTTTTAAGCAAGAAACAGAGTCTCCAACATCACTTGCTAAATCAATATTAAGTGCATTGCCACTCACAAGCAATGACGCCAGGAGGTAATGATTTCCTGCTTTGTAATTGCTGTGCATTTGCATAATCACACTGCTATCAGGTATAATGATATGCCAGGAACAGTCTTGCATGTTACTCAATTGCCTGATAATTTATAATATATTCAGAGACCAAGGAAGCATCCTGTTTGCACAGATATAACCCTTTATGCAACATTCAATGAAAGAAAAAAACGATACTTAATAAAGTACCATGATATTTTTAAACACTAACACATACCATAGGAAATATTTATTTGAACACATTACTGTTCCTGAAAAATGGTGAATTCAGGGCAATATTTACCATCTATAATATTATCTCCTTGGACCAATTTGATAAATGTTTAAAATGTAGATGTTAACATTTCAGTGCCTAATAAAAATTAAAGATGTAAATCATAAACACTTCGGGGCCCTTCAGCAGGATTTGACCCTGCTCAACTCTTCTCTTCTTAAAACTTTATGACCATAGCTTCCCTACAGTTAGATCTCTCTCCATGAAACTCTCTGAAGATCTCTCCATTTTCCTCTCCCTTCCCTACTGTTCTCTATACTTTTTGCTAGAAGCTCATTCTCTACCAGGATACATGGAAGGCCCTCAAAGTCTGTCTCAAGTCTTTCTCCTTTCCTTATCTGATAGCCCTACCCAGATCACAGCCACAGCACAGCTGTGGTATGTGTACAATGTACATATAACTCAAATCTGTACTTCTTCATTTTTGATTTCCTGCTCTCTAAGATCTAACTGCCAACTTACCCTGTCCTCTAGGTATTTAAGTATGAACCATTCCCCTTGCTTTCTCTCTATCCTGCTTGACCTTCTGAGAATTCCCTGACTGAGTCATGCTATCATCCAACACGTGAAACTAATGAATATCTGGGGATAATTTTTGAGACCTCCACTTTAATTGTCTCTGTATCCACTTCATCCTCACTAACCACTATTTTAAGTAGTACCTATTTTAGCTTTTAAGTGTTCCTAAAACTCAATCTTGCCTCTCCTATACTCTCAAAATCATACTCCAGGCTGTGGTCACTTACCATCCACTCTAGTGCTGCAACTGCTCCTCACCTGCTCTGGCTTCCCTAATATTTTTCTTCAACCCAGTAGCCAATGATTTTATCAAAATGAAAATTTGGTCGTATTATCTAACCTCCTGTCAACCAAAATGTTCAATTAGCCTAGTCTTCTTAGGGAGATGTCAAGAGCCCTTGCTAGGGCCCATGTTATGACACATCATGGCCTGGCTCCTAAAGTCAACTCACATGCACTTCCCCACTTCTGGCTTCATCCAACACCATTCCTCTGCCAGGCCCTCAGACTCATCATGTTCCTAATCAAAGAGCCTCTGCACTTACTATATTATCTACTTAGAAAACTGCTCCATTCCCTTTGTAGTATAGTTAAGTCTGGCTCAGTATTTATAACTCAGCTTGTAATAATCCATTTTTCATTGTCATAATGAAATACCTAAAGCAGATTACTTGACAACATAAAAGTTTATTCAGCTGACAGAGGCTCTAGGGCCCACATTTATTGATGGTCTTCTTACCAGCAGAGTCCAAGTCTGCAGAGAGCATCATACAACAAAAGAAAGGCAGCACATATGTATGTCACATCCTCTGGTCTCTCTCTTCTTACATAATTACATATATATTTTTAATTTTTTTATTGAGCATTTGTACATTCCATACAACAGTTCTTAATCAAATTTAGAATCCCTCCCCCATGCATGCCCCCACCAGACCTCATGTATTTTGACATTCATGTTAAGTCCTATCCAGTCAAGCATTTGTACCCAGATGTCCTTCAGTGCAAATTCATCCACTGGAGTCTAGTCAGCCTATGTAGAGACCATAAGTAAGGCCTACTCTCCCTCACCCAGTACCATGTTTAATGTGGGAAGCTCTATCCTGGTAATCTTATCCTCCTAATCACCTTCCAAAAGTTATACTTCTAAACACCATAGCAGGATTAAATTTCTGCCTTTTTACTGCTTTCCAGTGTGACTAAAATTCAACAAATGAACTCTGAGGGCTATTCAATCCATACCCAAGCCACAACACAGCTCAAATATTATGTCTTCAGAAAAAAACACAACTTCCCTAACTATGCTACCCCTCTAACTGGGCTTTCTTACACAGAACTTGTCAGCTTTATTTTCATATTTGCCTGTTCCATTATTCAATTATCTGTCTCTACAAACTACATTCCAAGACTGCCAAGATACCCACCATTATACCCTATGTGTCTAACACTGTCAACAGATTCTCAACAGAGCTTTTCAATGACCATGATTAATAGTCTAGCTCAAGGCTACTCCTGAAAAACTAAAAAGTTACAGGCTATTGTTAGAATATTAGTGGTCCAAAACTGGAAAAGGAGAAAAAAAATGTGCCAAGATACTAGTCTATGATAGCTAAGATGGAAGGCTGAAATTGTACAAATTTAAGACCCTTCTAAACTAGACCCTGAAAAGAAAGGCATGAAAGTAAATGTTCAAATGAACTATACTTACCCACTGTCACTGAACAAGAACTCCAAATGGGTCATGAAGACTTCCCACTGAGAGACACTGTATCGCTGTGCCAGAGAAAGAGCGATGCCGTAGACATTTTCCTCAAGGCTTCTTCAGGAGTGTCCATCAGGTACAGGGAAGGGAAAGAAAAGAAACACACGACTGTAATCAGTGAAGAAAATTCTCAGAGAGGACAAACAGAACAGGGACTGTCAGTACAGGCCTCCCTGAAACAGCACCTAGGCAAAGAAAGGTCTTCCCGGTTCCCTTCCACTGTGTCGACCACAGGTTCCGTGGACCTGTCTGCCAGTGGCTCTAAGTCAAGGGTAATTCTGGTCCCAGGACCACCTGATCATGCGCAGAAACTTTCTAAGTGACACAAATGGTGATGGGTTTGGGATCAGTTTTTTGGCAGCTTGTGGTTAAAGCCTGGATGCCACAAATCATATGACAGTCCTCCGGCAAGACAGAATTAGTCAGTCAAATGTTAGTTATACTGAGGTTTTTTTTTTTTTTTTCAATTTTTAAAATTCTGGTCTAGACACTAGAGCCTGCAGATGATATCTGACAAAGCATGGCTAGGCATTAAATTTTATTTTTAATGTCTTCTACATTGTTCAGGTACTGTGCACTTTGGGAAATAAAAACAACAAAAAGATGTTTTCTCTCTCTTTGTGTGTGTGTAAACATTCATATAAGGGCATGCGTTTTGTGTAGGGGTCAGAGGACAATCTCAGGTGTCAGTCAGGTGCCTTTCACCTTTTGAGAGACGATCATTCATTGGCCTGGACCTCTGCCACATAAACCAGGCTACCGGTTCTTCAGGCTTCCAGAAATCCATCTGTATTTACCTCCCACCTCAACAATGCTGAAACTATAAGAACATGCCACCATACTTGGCTTATTGTATGGGCTCTATGGAATCAAACTCAGGTCCTCAAGCTTTCAAGGCAAACACTACCAACTGAGCTGTCTCCCTAGTCTTGTACTGGTATCTTTATCACTTCATGAAGGTGGGAATGGAAAAGTTAGGTTATACCATCTTCAAAGCTATACTGCCTGACTCTGAGAATACTTTAGCAAACACATGTGAACAAGGCATGTAATATGTTTTCAAAACCTAAAAAATAAGAAAAAGAATGATCACATTACTTATAATAGAGATAGAGTGGATAAACAGGAGAAACTAAGTTTTGTGATTCTATCTGACATGGAAATTCCATCTCCAAATGAGAACTGGCCAAGACAAACCCCACTGAATCTTTGAGACATTTTCAACAAGTCATCCAAAGACTGCTTGTATATTTTTCTAAGCAACAGAATGTACGAAAGATTCTATTACATATTTATCAAAAGCATATATTTGTCTTTGAGGACATGCTTCAAATAGCATATGTTGGCTGCATACTTAGAAAATAAGAGACAAAAACACCAACAAAATGTAACTAATGACATAAGGCATGCCTTACCTTATAGAATTTATAGAATTTTATTCTGTATAATGACCCTCTTCTAAGAAACCATGAACATGGCACCAAGGATTATAAAATGCCCCAAGTAAAAGCATAGTGAATCGAGAATTAGGAAACTTGGGCTTAACTCCTGGCTGTGTGACCTTGAACAACTCCATAAAATTCTGTTTCTCAGATTCTTCTTCAAAAAACAAGGAAATTGAACTAGAGTGTCTTAGGACTATATAGTGCCTTAAGACAAAGTGTCTTAAGACTATACAGTGCCTTAGGACATAGTGTCTTAGGACTATACAGTGCCTTAGGACATACAGTGCCTTAGGAGTATATAGTATTTTAGGACATACAGTGTCTTAGGACTATACAGAGTCTTAGGACTATAGAGTACCTCAGGACTATAGAGTGCCTTAGGACTATACAGTGTCTTAGGACTATACAGTGTCTTGGGACCATACAGTGTCTTGGATTATTTTCAAACTGGACATTAAATGACTCTATGAAATTTTGAGCTTTCAGGATGGTAGCTAAAAAGAGAAGACTACTCCATATTTCTCTTCTTGAGAATGGCCATGGGTTCTTTATACTCTCTTTCTTTCGATTCTTTCATGCCCTGCCTCATCCTAAAGAGTACCCATGGCCCTTCTAGTATCAAGGAAGTCCAGGCTAATATAAAATTATCAGAGAATAACAAATCTATTTCACCATTTTCTCAAGGATTTAAGAATGATAATGAAAAAATAACATAACAATTTCATGAACAAAGGTAAGCAAGCTGGGCCTATAGGGTTATATTCATAGGGACTGGCTTTTTCTGAATATACATTGAGTTGTGGGAGTCAGAAGGCAATGATAATTAAAATAAAAGCTAGGGAGATGTTGTAAGTAAAGTTTTGGTGAGGTTAATTACCCTAATGAAGATCATTTTTATTATTTTTAAGTAATGGTTCAGGAGAGAAGAATACCAAGTCTAGGCACAATTTAACTTTTGTTTCAAGACTGTAATTCTAACCTGCATGGCTGTTGTACAGGACTGTCTTCCAACAGACAGATGTCATCTTCCCAAGCTCAGCTTTACCCATTTGCCTAAGATGGTCACAGCTGAGGTTGTTAACTGTTCATGCCCCATAAGGAAGGAGGGGCAGGGAGACTCTTGGAACCCTGCCAATGAGCCAAGCCATACCTCCCACACCCTAGTTACATGTGGCCTGGGAAAGGGGCTAAGGGTATATAGGTTGGGAAAGCCTGGGGGAATCTTTCTGGCCATTTTAAGTGGCTATGGAAAAGCTACCATCCATGCTTGGGTGAACTTTCCCATGCAGTCTTGGATGGGTGCACCCACACTTCTGGAAGTAAACTCTCACTCATGGCTCTGTAAGTAAGCCCGATAAACTCATTCATTTCCCAGACTGCAGTTTGGCAAAATTGTACTTCCATTTGTCATTGGGACCACAGGAGGGTGTGGGATTTTGTTTAGATCCTCCACAGAAAGAATTTTAGCCATAATGGCACACTAGTGCGTCCTTGAGACTATAAGGGTGTGCAGGAAGGCATACCATGTAAGGTATAGAAGTGAGACCTTTGAAATGTGAAGGATCCAGGTCAATGTCAAACTTACAGATTTTATCACCCACAAAACATGGGCCACTTAACATCCTTAAGCTGCATTTCCTTAGTTAATAAAATGTAGATAAGAACATTTTATCCCATAGTGTTATCTATGAAGATGGAGGATATTAGATATTACAGAGTACCTTACACACAACTTTCGGCATGAGCCCACAGTAAGCACTCAATACATTTTATGATGTTGATATTTTTCTACTTAATAACCACCTGGGCAACATACTTTTCCCATCTTCTGACTACTGAATACTTCTCACCTGACCCAAGAGAATGCCATTTCTAGAGAGCTACTCTTCCAACTGGGATATAAGTTGTCCTTCCCTCTCACACAAGGGCCTACTCTTCTCTCAGAAAGGAAAATGGCAGCTGTTCCTTGCTCTGTGCGGAAAGTGACCAGGCTGAGGGAGTGGTTCTCTAGCGTTCAGGGCATGGGCACCTGATCATACAGCATGGAGACTTCCTATATGAAGTCAACTGTATCTATGAACACACTGAAGAAGATAAATTCTATGTGCTCTGAAAAGTGAGATTCTCAGCCAAGAACTAAAGGCAATCTGATTTTTAAAGTTCCAACACAGCATCATACTTTTCACCCAAACCATATCCTATTTCCGTTAACATGATGATAATTTTGGTATTGGAGTAGCAAAGTCATAGAAACTAAACAAACAAATAAACAAACAACAACAAAAACCCATTGCTTACTGTTTAAATATATAGGCTCAAAATTCTGCATCTACTGATCTACGTGGTAAAAAACATACATTCCTCATAGGACTGGGGAAACTAGAGAAGGTCCTGTTGATAGCAACTGCACGCAAATCTTCAAAAGATTGTGATTATGACTTATCCTGCATTTTAAATCCACCCCTCAGGTCTCTTACTCTGCCAGACCCAGGATGGTTTCTCTTTTGTACTGATCATCGGCAGTAAACCGCTGCACATCCACACCCTTCCGCAGGCCCTGGAGGAGCTGTGCCTGAGTGAAATCCAGCAGGCGCTCATTGTAGCAGTTCAGCTGCTTGGTCAGTGACACCAGGTCCTCTGGCCAGGTCTCATGTCCATGTTGAGCCACATGCTTTGTGACCATCTTGATTAGTTCCTTGGGATCAACCTGTGAGAGTCATAGAAAAGTGTATTTTATACACATTACACAAACATGAGTGAGTACTGACACAGAGAAGAGCACAGCTCCTGGAAATCTGCAGGCCCTTCACTGCTACATGTCATTTAATCACAGTCACCTAGAAGCTGACTGCAGAGCTGTCACTTTGCAAACCTCAAAGAAGGGACACAGAGCTGAGCCTACACCCGGGCTTTCTGAACTCCTGCTTTGACCTTTTTGCCACCTTACAAAGTTCTAAACAAACTTAGAAATTAATATTTTGCAGCTTTTTCAACTATCATAAACCTATACATTATTTCACTCAGGGAGAAATTTTCATCCTCATTGCCTCTGGATAAATTTTGTCATCCACCACAAGTGCTTGTTCTCAGTAAGAAAACCACAGTTCAATAAAGCCCAACACAAAAGGTTGGACAGTGAGGGAGAAGAATGGTTTCTTCAGGGATAGGTCAGAAAACAAAAATAAAACCCACCCAGCTCACAAGGTTAAAGCATTTCTAGTGATGTAAGAAAGCATTTGGTAGTGTTTTACTCTTCTTGATTTGGGGCCCAGCAGGATGGGGTTCTAGGATTCTTGGCAGCTTCTCAAAAAACAACACAATTATTTAAATAGAACAAAACCCAGAATCCAACAGCTGACAGGACAGGAGAGCAAGTGATAAGCTGGCCACATTATTTGTAGTGAAGTCAGTCTGACTGTCAATAGAGCAACAGCAGCTCAGTCATAATTCTGGAACAACCTCACAAAGAACATAAGACTATTCCAGCATGAACGCTAGCACTCCTCATTCCTGGGAAGACATATTACATATTTTAAAATAAGAAAATTAGGGGGAAAAACCCAGACTCTATCTTTGGTTATCAGAACTACATTCCTAATTATGGTAAGATGTCAGCTTTTCTAAAATGAAAGCCCATTATTCTGAGCTACACAGGAGATTTGTCAATGTATGGTCTACACAACCAAACCTAGCCTGACAGCCTCTTTCCTTCATCTATTGTGAAATAATGCGGAGGCAGGGATTAAAAAAAAAATTAGAGAAATCTTGAATTCCAGGAGGTGGACTCATGTCAAAGTCAACTTTGTATATTTCATTTTTTTCCAAATCTATGCATTTTTTGAGAGTCCTACTCTCAAAAATCATTTATTTCTTCAGTCAGAAGACATTAGTTTTGAATGCTAAATTCTACCACAGGAAATAATAAGATCATCTCTAATTCATTCAAAAAATATTTCTGCAGTAGATATAATTCTTGTGTGCTTTTATTTAGCTCTCATCTCCACTTCTGTTTCAGTCTTAGCTCATCAACTAAAAGTATTCGACACCAACTATTCTTTTGCTACAGATACTTTGGTTGTCACAGTCAAATAAATCTCATCCTCTCTTAAATTGTTTAAGAAATAATCTCAAATATCTTGAATGTTGACAATTTTTCATCAATAGCCTTGACACTCGAATCAGTTTACCTAGAAAATAAAGCTTTTTTGTCCCTTAAAAAGAAAAAATATTTCCAGGCATGGTGGCACACGCCTTTAACCCAGCACTGGGGAGGCAGAGACAGATGGATCTCTGAGAGTTCAATGCTAGCCTGGTCTACATAGCGAGTTCTAGGCTAGCTGGGGCTACAGGGAGAGCCTGTCTCAAAAAGACCAAAAAAAAAAAAAAAAAAAGGAAGAAAAAAAGAAAAATATTTCTTTGCAAATCTATTCCAAGGGAAATATTAAAAGAAATTTCAAAAAAAAACAAAAAAAAAAAAAAAAAAAAGGAAGAAAAAAAGAAAAATATTTCTGTGCACATCTATGCCAAGTGATATACTAAGAGAATGTGCCCTGCTCTTCCAGACATGCAATTTATTGAATGACAATGAAGTAAGCAATGGTAAAATGGTAGGCCACAGATGAGCACAGAGTGCCTCAGGAATACAAAGGGGTGGGACTTGAAGTGTCAAAGAAGTCTTCTTAGAAGAGTTAATATCTAGGAAATAGTAACAGAAAGGCCAGCAAGAAATAGGAAGACAAATTCCAATTAAGTTCATAGGAGTATGTTCTAGGGCCTGAGTGGCTAGGACCAGATGGAAAGACTGAATAAATCAATTCTCACTGCAACAACAGAGTTGTTTGGGAATAAGCTGTTTGATGGTTAACTTGATTGTCAACTTGACAGGATCTTGAATCACATAGGAAACTCATCTCTGGGCATGTCTGTGAGAAAGTTTCTAGATTGAATTAGTTAAGATATGAAAGACCCACAATAAATGTAAGCACTACTGGGGGCCTGAACTGAGTAAAAAGGAGAAAGCGAGCCAAACATCAGCATTCATCTCTTTCAAAGTTTCCTGACTATGAATACAGTATAATCATCTGTCTCGGACTCCTACCATGATTCCTTTCCCACAATGATGAACAATACTTTTAAACTATGAGCCAAAGTCAACCCTTCCCTTCTTTAAAATGCTTCTGTTAACTATTATGTCACAACAATAAGAAAAGTAACAAATGTAAACTACATATAAACAGTACATCTGGCAACAGATCTAGGCAAAAAGGGATCCATGCTCTGCTCTTGGTGTGCCTGTGGCTAATATTTTATTTCCTTTCTACATGTTGACTATTTTTCATAGTACTCTGAACCTTCTACCATGCATACAACTACCTCTACAGTTATCTGGCCCATAAATAATAATTGTAGCCACCCAGTCTACATGCACCTGCCCTGCATGCTGCATATGCATGTCCTCTCAAAAGGAATGGCTTACACACACACACTCTAAAGTCTCAGACACAGAACACCTCATTTGCACTCTGCACTCTAATACAACTTATGATACAAATCCAATGGCCAAATCGTGAGCAGAGCTCCCAAATGGGGGCTCACAGAAGAAACACAGTTATTACTGTTTAAACAGGCTCTAGCCGAGTCCCACAGGAAGTTTCAAGTACACATATAACCTTCATATTTAAATACAGCAAAATAATGTATTTATCTCCTTTAGTGAATTGAAAAACTGACATTGGATGATGAGGCAAGCAGGCATGCAGAATTTAGAAGCTGGATGATCTTATAAAGGTTGTCTACCTTGTATATAAACTAGCAACAATAATCTATGGTTTTCATGGTTGAGAGAAGCAAGCCCAAGAGAAAATATGCAAACCAAGGCCTGGTATGAAGCAAGAGCTCCAGAAAGGAAAGGAATTGTAGAACTTGCTGAAAGACATTTAAAAAATCTTTCTGCAATTGCACTTCTATTGCATAATTTATTTTACATTGCTTTCTCTCATTGAATTATAGCTTGGGGGGGGGGGAGAATTGTTGTTGTTGTTTGTTTTTTGACAGGGTCTCCCTAGTCCCAGTCTGCCTGGAAGTCACTATGTGAACTAGGCTGGCCTTGATCTCACAGAGATCCATCTGCCTGCCTATGTCCCCCGCCCCCTTCTCCAAGGGTTGGGATTAAAGGCACAAGTCACCACACGAGGCTAAATTATAGCTTTGGAGGGACAGAAACCATGAGTACTTCATGAGGTCATCTTTTCCAGAATACAACAGAATCTTCTGCAAAATGAAGGTATGTGGTAAAGTGGGCACACTGATCTGAGTTTTAAGCCAGTAGTTTCAATTTATACTCCAGGTCCCCCACCTGGTAGAGAGGCAATTTGGAGTTACTTCATCTATTTCCTCATTGTCAAAGAATTTCAGTAAGCACACCATCTCACAGTTTGTTGGGAGACACAAACAAAATAAGGTATTTTCAAAAAAAAAAAAATCCTGTCTCCATTATTTTATGAAAACAAATTGTGCCCAGAGCTTACTCTCAAGGAATTAGAAACTGATTATTTAAAAAGAGGTATACATTAACAATTCACATAGGTATCCGAACATATCTCATTGCAGAGTCATGGACCAAGAGTCCTGGGAACTCCATAGAGGGAGCAACTGATTCATTTCTTGATTCCTCTGGTGCTATTTCCTCCAAGGGGAGAAAGGTGCTTCACATGATCACCTTTCTAAGACTAAAATCCTATTAATGTACAGGAATTCAAACATTAAAATGAAATAAACTCCTGGAAATCCTTCCAGGTGGAGAAGAGGGTTCTACAGCCCTCATTTTGTGCTTCTGCTAAGCTTTAACAACTGATTTTGTTGAAACATTTTTTTCAGATCAACAAATTATAGCTAATACATCCCCATACAGTTTAAACAACTTTAATCTCTTCTCCTTTACTAAGAAACTATCTAGTCCTATTAGAATAATTTACCTTTTTGTACATCAAATTTATTCACTTTATTTAAGAAATAGTTAAGAATGAAAATTGAAAATTTAAATCTTCAGGATGAAAGAAAGGACTAGTGCTAAGTACACATGTATGGTGCCTCAGTTAAGACTAACAACCTTAAGGACAGGTGTCTTGTAAGATCATCTGTATTTTAAAGATGGATAAGGAGTTAAGCAACCTGTGTAAGGCTGGTAAGCTGGTAAGTGGTAAAGCAGGGGTATGACTCCCAAGCACAATACCCCAAGGATCCAAGTTATGCACAGAAGGGATTCTTTTACAATGTTAAAACCAGTGCATATAGTCCCACTACATGTAGCTGAGACTTGCCATTAGAATCCTGACAGGCTTATACATGACACATTGTCTTACTGTCTATATTTCTACAGGTAACTTCATTTTCACATATGTCCATGTATAAATGGAAGTGTTGAATGTGTGAACTAAATACTTGACTAGATTTCCCAGCCTGGAGTTTCTTTCTTTAACGGTAAGGGTGTTTTAGAATCATGCCTAATAATGGCGTTTTGTGTTCCACTTCCCAAGTACACCTCTTTTTGAAATTATGTCTCAATACAATGGTGAATAGGGGCATTCTACTAACTGCTTCATGAGAGATTTTTAAGTGTTGATAAGTGTATGAATTATCAAATATCTGTTAAATATACAGACAGATTTTCAGTACTTCAATTATTACAGAAAATATAATAATAAAGAA